ATTTTATGTTTATTTTATCCTCGAAGATAACACACTCCATCTCCCTTTCCCTGTCACATGTTTCTTTGGCGTCTCGTTGTAGCAAACAATATTTTATCTTTTACAATTTAATCACGCTCTTTGTACTGTAATAAAATAATATATATATAAAGTATAAATATATTTATATAAAACAATATATATAATATTATGTATAATATATATAATATGCGCAATAATATTATATATATAATATAAATAAAATATATGAAATAATATATATATATATATATATTCTTTTTGTAAATAAAGTGCAATGATAACGTGGATTTGTGTCGGGTTTACCATTCGCGCAGGTTTTTCGGTACCTTCGAAATTAGAATGATCGACGCAAACACGAATTGTAAATTCTAATTGCAATTCCGTTTATAACCTTCCGACGCAAATGAAGTGAATAATTCGTGAGAAAGACGTAAGTAAACGAGCGTTTCAAGTGGAACCTAGAATCCATTTGAATAACTTTGGTTGTTCTAGTATCGTTCAACGGAATAAACAGCGGTTAAAAATGGTGATCGATGTCATGTGTCAACGATGAAAGTATGTTGAATTCGAAATCAGAATTGATAATCGGAACACACTTCGGTCGAAACAATGTACGCACGAATTATTTTCCCAAGAGGCTAGAAAAAGCGAACTTTTCACGATTTCATTGCCCGCGTCTCCTCGTCAACTGAATGCACCCCCCAAAAAAACTTCATGCTGCTCCAAACTATACGTAATCACGCTATACGGCAACTATAATTTTTTAATTTTTCTTAAATCGGCTCGCCGATTAAAAATTCCTACAATTTCACTGGAAAGACGATTTGCAACTGCGCGTAAACGCCAGATTTACGGAGCACAATAATTAATTTTTAATGTTTTATATTAATCTATAAAAGCAACGATAACACATTTATTCTGATTTTTGAACAAGTGTTGTAACGTTTGCCGTAAGCAACGTATAAATTGAATAAATAACTCGTACATGTATCTTTACGATACGAATAATCGTGAATTAAAAAATTGTCGTCATTTTGACGGGTTCCGTAAATCTGGCGTTAAGAAAACGACTCGATAAGGTCGATAGGGTCTCGAAAGATGATCGAAAATCGACTGAGATTTATCGCCGCGCGATAAATCCTCGCTGCCGAATGGGTCGTCGATAACGATCGACGATGACCGACTCAATGACCGATTCGATAACCGATTCGATAATCGGACGATGACGGTTTCGAGCAGCATGCGTCGCCGTGCATTCGTCGAACCCACCTTTTGCCCGAACTTCCCATTCACGTTGATATGGCGCAATCAGCGTTCAATGTTCACGGAACGCGATTAGGAAATTGCGTTTGAAAAGCATGCGAATGCGCCGCGACCTTCGACCCCGGTGCATGTATCAAACTCGAATACAATCTCGTCCGCACCGTTTTACCCTTGGACGACGGACTTTTTAAACGGATGTAGAATGAACCTTTGTGCGGCCCATTTGCAGTTCCAGTTCGGTGTATTTTTAAACATTTCTCGAAGACAATGCCTTTACGAAGGCAAATCGTGCAACGTGCAGATCTTGGAATTGCCGGTGCCGTGAGCCGCTGCAATCGCAAAACTGCGGGACTTGTGTAAAATCAAGGTTCGCCAGGTCAGTTGCAAAAAGCAGAAATTAAGTAAAAATTCCTTCTTTCTATTTAATCATTTCTCGAGTAGGCGTTCCAGCGTAAATCGCGCCTCTGTTCGACTTTCTTTGGGACTTTTTTTTTGTTGCGCAGAAGCTGCGACACTTTTTGCAGCCACATACGCATGTTTTACTAACATTCGAGGTTTGCTTAAATTAAAAATAGTATTAAAATCGATGGCGTCGGATAGTTTGAGACGTGGTCGAATTTCAAAGTGAAAATCGTCCCACGGTGGCCCATAATCGTGGCCATTTCGGTCATCTGAAATGAAGAAACGTGCAAGATTCTTAATTAGCAGGTAATAGAACATTGGCAGGACTGTAGCAGGTTATTACCTGCTTCTATTGAACATTATGGAAAATTCGCTGATTAACACGTTCCGTGCCACGTGTACCATCGATGGTACACGCTTGCATGTTTACTTAGTGAACTGAACAAATTGTTTACAAGAAATTTAGAACCGAAGAATCAATTTCCACCGCAAGAATGGGCGTTGATAAGTTTTTGTTACGTTGTTATGTGTACGAGAATTAATAATTGCACGTAATACATCAAGTTTTAGTAAAATATCAAAGTGTGAAGATTCGAGTAAAAAAAGCTCGGCACGGAACGTGTTAAAGAGACGGCGACGTTTTGAAATTCGATCGCCGATTTTTTAAACGTCGGGGAGCCTCGCGCGGGTAAAAGGGCGCTGAGTGAAGACCACGGGCGTTTCGAAACGCTGCCAACGTCTGTCTTTATTTCGCGGAACAACGCAGTAAAAGTCGGGAAAAGTAGGAAGACTTTATTCGCAGGCTAATGAAAGGAAGTCGCCGCTGTCACGGTCAACGCACGTCGAACCGGTAATTGAGGTTTGTCATGGATTATTATGTACATATTTCTATTACCATTCTCTCGATCGCTTGACATTACTGCCCTCTTTCTTCCGTTGTCGGCTTTGGTAATCGCTCCATATATTCGAGATCAGAACTGCGTCGAATTCTCCCTAATTCGCGCTCGGATTGCGCTCAGAAATGGACAATTCGGGAAGGGGAGAGACGATTTATAGTCGTTGACAATTGCTAACTATAAAAGCGAGACGCAAGGCTCGAATAATCGTGTCGCCTCTTCTCTAATTTTACACTTTTGTGTACGGTAATTTCTCCCTAATTTGCGCTCAGATTGCGAACAAAAAGGGACAGTTAGGGAATAGGAGAGACGATTTATAGTCGTTGACAATTGACAACTATAAAAGCGAGACGCAAGGCTCGAACAATCGTGTCGCCTCTTCTCTAATTTTACACTTTTGTGTACGGTAATTTCTCCCTAATTTGCGCTCAGATTGCGAACAAAAAGGGACAGTTAGGGAATAGGAGAGACGATTTATAGTCGTTGACAATTGACAACTATAAAAGCGAGACGCAAGGCTCGAACAATCGTGTCGCCTCTTCTCTAATTTTACACTTTTGTGTACGGTAATTTCTCCCTAATTTGCGCTCAGATTGCGAACAAAAAGGGACAGTTAGGGAATAGGAGAGACGATTTATAGTCGTTGACAATTGACAACTATAAAAGCGAGACGCAAGGCTCGAATAATCGTGTCGTCTCTTCTCTAATTTTACACTTTTCTGTACAGTAATTTTTCCCTAATTCGCGCTCAGATTGCGCACAAAATGGGACAGTTAGGGAATAGGAGACGCGATTATTCGCGGCTCGCGTTTCGACTCGTTTTCATAGTTACCGATTATAATAAAAATTATAATTTCATAGTTACTCAGAGTTTACTGTATCGAGAAGCGAAATGCTGTAATTTTTCCCTAATTCGCGCTCAGATTGCGCACAAAAAGGGAAAATTAGGGAAGAGGAGACACGATTATTCGCGGCTCGTATTTTTATAATTATTGACAACCGATAACTATAAAAGCGAGCCGCAAAGCTCGATAATCCTCTTCCCAAACCGTCCATTTTTCTGCACAATCTGAACGCGAATTACGGAGAAATTAATGTAAAATCCGAGCATCAATTAGGGAGAATTTACTGTATTCTCAGTGTCGCTACAGTTGCCGGAAGAAAAGCTCCGCGACATAAGTAAACCCGTCGCCATTCTCGACGAAGAAATTGCACTTTCGACGCGGCATTTACTGATTTCATTAATTTTTAATCATTTGTTAATAAATAACCTTCGATCGAGTTACAATTAGTGTTCTGAAAAGAATGTAAAAATTCCTCTTTCCGAGGAGGATGACGCAGGGGTTTTATCGGGAACGGACAACGAGCGTGTTTTGATCGAGCATTCAATTATTTAAATAACTCGCCGATAAACAATCGTCTTGGGCAGCTCGAAAAATTGAGATCCTGCACGAATTACGAATCGTTCGATTTCCTCGATAAATTCGCAGATTCGATATCGCTTTATCGCCGAAAATTGATTATTTATCTTTATATCTTGTTTACGAAGCGAACGACGACGTTCTGAAACGGTGGACGCTTGTCAAAAATTATGTACACGCGAGATACTATGCTAAAAATGTTCGTCCTTGGTTTTCAAGAACAATGGAGAACAAAATCAGCATCGTTCGTTAAATATTTCTGTGTTCGCTAATTTATTAGCGATCCGTCGACTATAACGACGGATTCTCTTGCGTTCTCAAGCTTGTCTAGTTTGTGCTGAAAAATTTGCTCATTCTCTTTGGCACCTTCTACAAACCATTTCAATTCATAGGTTCGATCTTGATTCATAGGTTCGATTCGAGGTTTCTTTGTCGAGCGCGGCAACCGGGTTTTATGCGTTTACAGCAGAAATAAGCGAATGAAACACAGATCGGTGAAGACGCGAGGAAAAATATATTTTTTATTTTGATTTTACATAGTCGATGGGAACGATACGTATTTTGCAAAATAAATAATGCAAAATGAACGTTTTCCCCGTCGGATGCAAGATTTAAGAACCAATGTACAATGTAATCTCTTCTTTCAGTAATTTTATCAAATGAAATTATTAAATTTAAATTTAAGATTACTTATTAAATTTAAAACGAATTATTCAATTTAGATTTAAATTAACACTGAGAATTATTCAATTTAAATTAAAAATGAATTACTCGCTTTAAATTAAAAACGAATTATTCAATTGTAATTGAAATTGAAAATGAATTATTCAATTTAAATTGAAAATGACTTACTCAATCTGAATTGAAATTGAATATGAGAGAGAGAGAGAATTATTCAATTTAAATTGAGAATGAATTACTCAATCTAAATTGAAATTGAATCAAAAACGAATGATTCAATTTAAATCGAAATCAAGAATGAATTATCCAATTCAAATTTAGAATGAAAAATTTAAATTTATTAAATTAAACACGCCAAAATTACAAGCTTTCTTCGAGTCTCTTCATTGTCCGAAAACGTAGCCCACCAATATCAGCCATAAACGCATAAAATCCGCAGGTCTGAGCATAACCACCAATAACTCTCCCATCCAGTCGAGCCCACAAGCAACATGAATCGCGCACCGTAACTCCATTCTCGACGTCCTCGTCGGTTCACCCCCGGTAAAGCCGAAAATGTGTCCGAAACCTCAAGATCCTTTATCCCCGAAAACGACTAGATCAACGAGGTCACGCGTAATCATCGAGCAGCCACACACGCACACACACTGTAAACCCGACCGAGTCTCGGCGCGCACACGATCATCCGTCTTCCTCAAGCGGAAGACAGCTTGTTCTTGAGCGTGCAATAGGCGATGCACTTGTACAACAGCAATCCCGAAGACAGAATAACAATGTCGATCCAGTACCTGCCGTCCGCCATCGAGAGCTCCTCCAAGATCGTGCTCGGCACCCTGTAATGGCAGTACATCTCCGAGCAGCTGAGCTTCTCGCGGTCGAAGCCGTACAGGCTGTGCACGTACGCGTGCATCGAGTACTTGAAGTAGCTGATGTAGCTCAAATAATAAAGGAAACGCGGCATATGACTGTACAACGCCAGGAAGCCGGCGAGAGCCAGCATGGCGCAGGTGGTGATGGCCGCGGTGAAGGTGCCGTCGATGGGGTTCATCAGGGTGCCGATCAGAAGGCCGTAGCTCTCGGAGATCAGGTTCACGAGGAACGTGACGAGCAGGAACATGAAGAACCGCCTCGGCTCGAGCAGCTGGCAGCTGAGAAAGTAGGATGCGACGCAGTAGATGAAGGCGGAGATCATCTGCAGGGGTATGGAGCAGACGGTGGTGGCCGCGTAGTAGGTCCTCAGCTGGTACCAGTTGTTGAACTTCTCCTTCTTCAGCGTGGGGAACTCGGATGGGAACTTGAGAACCGCGGGCATCATGCTGGTGTAGCTCATGTAGACGGAGGTGACCAGGAAGAAGCTGACGTTGCTGATCGCCTTGCTGCCGTCGCAGCCGCTCTCGGTGAACAGGACGCCGAGCATGATCCCGACGAACGCGTGCAGCAGCATCTTCAGATACGTGACCGTCCAATCGCGGAACAGCTGGACCAGGCAACGTCTGATCAGCACGAAGAACCTCTCCGTCTCCGAGGGCGCATGGATCAGCACGGTGGCCTTGTTCTCGTGGCATTTCTCCTCGAGCTTCTGCGTGTTCGCGACCGGCGTTCTCCAGCAGCTGCCGTTGCTGGCGAGCTTCTCCAGCTGGTCGGTGTAGTCGCCGTACTCCTTGGTCACCACCTCGATCATGAAGTCGGCCGGATTGTGGTACTTCGGGCATTGCAGCCCGACGCTGGCGAAGTAGTCGACCATGTTCTTCGTGGCGCCGTCGTACAGGCACTTGCCGTCCACCAGCAGGTACACGTTGTCGAACATCTCGAAGATGGCTGCGCTGGGCTGGTGGATGGTGCAGACGATGGTCCTGCCGGTTCTCGCCAGGCTCTGGAGCAAGGCGATGCACTGGTGGGAGGACAGGGCGTCGAGGCCGGTCGTCGGCTCGTCCAGGAACATCACCGGCGGATTGTCGACCATCTCCAACGCGATGCTCAGCCTCTTCTTCTGGCCTCCGCTGAGCTGACCGCACCTGGTCCCCTTCGATCTCATCAGATCCAGGTTCTCCAGCACGTCGTCTATCAGCATGTCCCTCGCCTTGCGGCTCAGGCTGCTGCCGATCTTCAAGTTCGCCGCCATCCGCATCGCCTCCAGCACCGTGAACAACGGGTGCAACTTGTCGTCCTGCTGGATGTAGCAGGACTGCTTCTTGTACTCCCGCCAGGTTTTCTTGCCCTCTTGCCCGATGTAGCAGATCTCGCCGTCCCAGTTGCCGCCCTCGAAGCCCGTCAGGATGTTCAGCAACGTCGACTTGCCGGCGCCCGACGGCCCCATGATCGCCGACAGCTGCCCGGACCTGAACGTCCCGTTCACGCCCTTCAGGATCTTCTTCTTGCCGCCTCGCAGGCTCCGCTTGGTCGCGTAGCTCAGCTCGGAGAACTCGATGTCCACCGAGCGGGACGTCGGCAGGTTGAGCAGCACCACGCGCTGATTGATCCCAGTCATCGTAGCCCGGCTACGATCCGTCCGCTGACAGCTGATCGCTCCGAAGCCGCTTCGCTTTCCGCCTCTCTGAACAGCCGCGAGGCTATGCCAGGCAGATCCGCCCCGGCTATCTTATCGCCGGCGACCGTTACGCGAGCCTCTGAACTGGGTCAGCCGCGGGAAGGATCATCGGTGCCGCTTATCTTCCACGGAATCTGCCAGTTCGAGCTTTCGCGGCGACTCTTCGGACATCTCGGCTAGGATTCTCGATGATCCCGCGATGAACTCTTTCACGCTTTTAGTCCTGCCGCGACGGCTTCGTTCGCATCTCCCCGGTGTCTTGGGTGCCCGGTGTCTTCTATGCTGAGAGATAGACGTTGCTAGACGTTGCTCGCTGTCATCCGGGTCTCGCGGATGACCGCTTTCTTTCGCGACCGCTCGCCGATCAGCATCGAGGGAACGCGTCCCGCGAGCCGATAAGTCGCGCGACGAATTATCGCCGGCGAAAGAGACCGTGTCTTTCCCCGATCCCCTACTTCGATCGCTCTGCCAGTCAATCGCAGAGCCGAGGATGGTTCTGAACGGCCGTGTTAGCTGTCCTCGGGGCCTTGCGCAGCTTCTGACCTGATCTTCACGGGGTGATCTGGAACAAGGTTGCTCGGGTTGAATCGTTTCGTGGGGCATAAACACGATTTGAAGGGAATAAGTCGCAGATGTTTATTCCGAGTGATGAATGGCGAGGTCGGGTGATGCGATGTTTTTTTAACCCTTCTACGGTCTCATTTTCTGATCTATAGAACCAGATTCGTTGGAAATATATGTTTTTTGCCTTGTTTTGTAATTTTCGTGGCGTTAGGTCGAGTCGTGAATGACTACCAATGCAGTTTTTATGCATTTGTGACGAAAATGAGTGCAGTTAATTGTCTCTAATTGACGCTCGGATTGGGCGCAAAGATGGATTTGGGGTGACAATTCGGGGCTCTCGAATAATTCTGTCTTCTCTTCCCAGATTGTCCATTTTTGTCTGCAATCCGAGCGTCGATTAAGGACAATTTATCGTAGATCGAATACAAAACAGTGAAAATCGTGTAATCGAATTTAATTTAATCGTGTAATTTAATTTAGTTTTTTAAATTTATTTTTATTTATACCATCGCATTATATATCTTCTAGTTGGTGAAATAATTAAAGAACAAAAGAAATGTCCGTGCAGCTGCCGCATCTTGCGATCAATTCGGGCTTTTCTCTTTATCTTTATAAAGATGAAGATATAAATTTTTATCCTTATCTTTACAAGTTTTCTCTAAATCTTTATTTTGCATAAAAATCGGCGGTTCAACGACAAGCTTGAAAATATTATATCACAGTGGAGTTTCCAGAGATATATTTTCAGTCGGGTCTACGCGACCGAAACACCATTAATACAAGTTTTTATGAGCACCGTGGAAGGGTTAATCGACTAGCAAACTTTCGGCGATGGATACTTTTACTGGAACAATCTGATTCGTTTTTTACTAGCACAATAATTTCTCCAAGAAATATTCGGAGATCGGAATTGAGAGCCAGCAGATCTGAGAATATTAATTGAGAAAGAAGAAGAATAATTAAGAATATACCCTTGGCATATAAAGATATCAATAAATTACACAGACGTACGACCAGCACAGGGAAATTCACGGCAACCCGAATTGAAAGAAGAAAGAAATGTTCGGAGATCGGAATTGACAGCCGATAGATCTGAGAATATTAATTGAGAAAGAAGAAAAATAATTAAGAATATACCCTTGGCATACAAAGATATCAATAAACTACATAGGCGTACGACTAGCACAGGGAAATTCTGAGAATATTAATTGAGAAAGAAAAAGANTAATCGAATTTAATTTAATCGTGTAATTTAATTTAGTTTTTTAAATTTATTTTTATTTATACCATCGCATTATATATCTTCTAGTTGGTGAAATAATTAAAGAACAAAAGAAATGTCCGTGCAGCTGCCGCATCTTGCGATCAATTCGGGCTTTTCTCTTTATCTTTATAAAGATGAAGATATAAATTTTTATCCTTATCTTTACAAGTTTTCTCTAAATCTTTATTTTGCATAAAAATCGGCGGTTCAACGACAAGCTTGAAAATATTATATCACAGTGGAGTTTCCAGAGATATATTTTCAGTCGGGTCTACGCGACCGAAACACCATTAATACAAGTTTTTATGAGCACCGTGGAAGGGTTAATCGACTAGCAAACTTTCGGCGATGGATACTTTTACTGGAACAATCTGATTCGTTTTTTACTAGCACAATAATTTCTCCAAGAAATATTCGGAGATCGGAATTGAGAGCCAGCAGATCTGAGAATATTAATTGAGAAAGAAGAAGAATAATTAAGAATATACCCTTGGCATACAAAGATATCAATAAACTACATAGGCGTACGACTAGCACAGGGAAATTCTGAGAATATTAATTGAGAAAGAAAAAGAATAATTAAGAATATACCCTTGGCATAGAAAGATAGCAATAAACTACACAGGCGTACGACCAGCACAGGGAAATTCACGGCAACCCGAATTGAAAGAAGAAAGAAATGTTCGGAGATCGGAATTGAGAGCCGGCAGATGTGAGAATATTAATTGAGAAAGAAGAAGAATAATTAAGAATATACCCTTGGCATACAAAGATATCAATAAACTACATAGGCGTACGACCAGCACAGGGAAATTCACGGCAACCCGAATTTTCTCATTTCCAGGAGAAATAACTGTATTCCCGTTTGTCACGATGACGCCGAATAGTATCTCCGTCGACATACTACCGCTGTTTTATTCATTATACATACTATGTAGTATGCTGAACGGATTTTAATTCAATCATTTGAAGCTGCCATTCATCCTGGCGACAAGATGAATATTTATGCCGCCATAAATATTTATACCAACTAATAATTATAGCCTACGGTTCAAAGAGATATTTAAACATCCGTATGCGCTGCGATCTTGTTTATCTTACAGCCGTATAGTTTGCTAATTCCCGACCGTTTATCAAACTTTTTACCGATCGCGGTTCTATACGCTGATGCGTTTCGACCACGTATGCAGATCCGTAATGTCAATTATATGCTGGCCGTTCGTGCTCCACTTATTAAGTATAATGAACAATAATTGTATCGCCCGGGGGGGAACAAGTGGTCGTCTGCTTATACAATAGATCGCTGTCCAGTATCGGAAACACGACCTCGCCTGACCTCGCGGGAATTTTTACTATTCGAACACGAGGAGCGGCTCTCGGCCGGCCTGTCGATCGCGTTTCCTCCTCCTCCTCCTCCTCCTCGAATCGGATTATCGTCGAGCGGCTAACTAAATTCAATTGTTCGCGGATAGTTACGTAGTTCTGTTCACCGGTGTCATTTGACAGCGTTCTTGTTCGACGATCGAGGATTACGTAAACGATTACGATAACGTATCGTTGACGCCGATTGCGGACGAAGAGAGAAAGAGAGAGAGAGAGAGAGGATCGACGGAATAATTAAAAGAGAAGAAATAGATAAGAATCGATGAGTCATCCGAGCAAGAAACTCAATGGCACGGAGCTGGAATGTTTCTCAATTGTGCGAAAACGTTGACGGTGCAAAATCGATCGGACTCGACGTCATTCAATCGACTCGCATATGTCTGTGACTTCCGGCTCGCGTGAAGAATATTTTATGTATAATCGACCTGTCGCAACGCTTAGTTCTTGCTCTAAAGCAAGGCTCGGAATTAACCGGCGTGCAACGTTCGGCTCGCGAGGGCCACGCCTCCGGTCTCCCTCTCGTCGCTGATCGCTTAAATGCGGCGAATGAGACGCGCGACGGGAGGCGTGGCGATCCGAGTGTTGCGCGCCGGTTAATTCCGAACCTTGCTTTAAAGCAAGAACTAAGCGTTGTGACAGGCGCGCAACGCTCGGATCGCCACGCCTTCCGTCGCGCGTCCCATTCGCCGCATTTAAGCGATCAGCGACGAGAGGGGGACCGGAGGCGTGGCCCTCGCGAGCCGAACGTTCCCTGCCGGTTAATTCCGTGCCCCGACTTCGAGTCGCCGATGCATGAAATAATCAAGCGAATATTTGTTACAGCGTATCATTGTTACATATTCGCGATTCTTGTCCCATTACTTCCGGTTCTCCTTAGCCTGTTTTTTTCCTTACGATCGAAGAAAAAATGATTGCCTATTCGATCGCTCAATTGAACACAGCTCGGAACGCTAGTTTCATTGCGCCGATTAGCATAAATTTCGATGATAATGAAGCGCGCCGGTAGACGCCGTTTTATTGGCCCCGCCTGTTTTATTGTTCGCCGCGTCTGTTGGCATCGTTTTACGACACGTGTTATGTAAACATGATCTTGAACTACAAACAATGGCGCGCCGTGAATCACCGAGGAAATCGCAGCCGAACGCGCCGTCGCCGCCGCGACACTTCCGAATCTCTGCCGTCTAACGTTTCGCTTTCTATGGATATTTTTACCCGATTTGCCATTTTCCCGATGCGCCGTGATTCAACAAAATACGGACGCCGAATATTTTGCATGCTTCGGCATATTTTGCATACCTGACGCGACTATCGCGCGCGCTGCGTTTCCGCCCAGTCACGATGACTTTCTTTTATCGTGCAAATTCTTATCTTCGCTTGTTGCTCTTCTTCGTTACCAGAAAAAATGTCAACATTGGTGTTCGATTTAACAGGATAATGCAGGTCGCGCGGGTTTGCGTTGCGCGAAGATTTCTCGATAAAGTTCGGGCCGTTCGCGCGGGTCAAATAGACACGACGGCCCGCGAAACACCTTTTAAAATGCGATTACTGTTTTAAAACTCAACTATGATGATTTGAATGGTTTTTTAGATGATAGAGGGACTAGTATACTGCATAGACGATGATTGAAATGCTATTTTTCTTTCTTTTTGATTTTTCTATTACTTGGAACGGCAAAGAAATAAAAATCTCTTTTCTTAACTTTTTTTTTAACTCTCTTTTAACGTTCTTCTTTCTCAATTATTTGAATTTTTTATGATAGAGGGACTAGTATACTGCATAGACGATGATTAAACTGCTATTTTTCTTTCTTTTTGATCTTGCTATTACTTGGAATGGCAAAGAAATAAAAATCTCTCTCTCTTTTCTTTACTTTTTTTTAACTCTCTTTTAATTTTCTTATTTCTCAATTATTTGAATTTTTTATGATAGAGGGACTAGTATACTGCATAGACGATGATTGAACTGCTATTTTTCTTTCTTTTTGATTTTGCTATTACTTGGAATGGCAAAGAAATACAAATCTCTTTTCTTAACTTTTTTCTTAACTCTCTTTTAACTTCTTCTTTCTCTCGTTTTCTTAATTTTTTTATCCGAACTTGTGACGAAAATTTAAAGAATGTCTTTCGTAGATCTCGATCACTTGTATGCATGTTGAAAATTTTATTGAAATCGGTTCACGTTGTTACGAGTTGCAATAAATTAAGGATCGCAAAAATCACAGTTTTATCGTAATTTTCACCAAAAATCGTAAGAAATCTGCACTTTTTTAGATCCTTCGACTCTGGATGAACCGATTTCGATGAAATTTTCAGCATGACGAGTCAACGAGATCTACGAAAGGCATTTTTCTTAATTTTCGTTACAGGCTCGAATGGAAAAGTTAAAAATCGAGGGTTTTTAATTTTGTTCTTTTCGTTCCAAGCAATGTCAAAATTAAAAAAAAAAGAAAAAGAAGGCTTTTTAGCCATCTTAGACCGCTGTATGCACGTATATCGCAAGAAACGAGCAACGTTCCACGCGTTTAAACGACGCTAAATTGTTTCGCGTTACGATGCGCGCGCGAATATCAGGAGCTTGCAATTATGCGCATCGATTGGTCAGAGTGCTCCGCTAATAATCGAGACAATCGTCGAGTTAAACACAAAAAAGGTGAGATCCTAATCGTTTCGAGTGACGCCTAAGGAAATCCTCGTTCTGCATAAACACGCGAAGATCACGCGCGTCGCCGCGTTTTAATAAAAATATACCGTATATACAATAAATCAAGTACACACTTTCAACAAAAAGAAGTGCAAATTAACGGTTTTTCTTCGAGGTACTCCATTCTGCGCGAGGACGCGCCATTTAATCGCGAGTGCATCCGATGCGAATCGAATTGAGATTGATCGCATTCAAATCAATGCAAATCCTCCGCGAAGTGGCATATGTATAATAAATCTCAGGAAGTCGAACTATGAATACATTAAACCGACGCTGAGAACAAACGGTTCACCGCGATCCTTGCAAATCGCGTCGAAAAATGCCGCCCGAGGATGCGTAGCCTAATCGCGCGTATTGTATTGCGCACGTGGACGCGATCACAAAAGCTTCCGCGATCGAAAAATTTCGGCAATCGTCGAGCCGATTATTGCATTATTTGCATTATTATTTATAATTATATTTATTTATTTTTTATTATTTGCATTATTGAAGAAAGAGGCTCATTCGATGGCGAACGATTGACATAACCGTGACGAAGAAAGCGCGATTTTTCACGAAGATGCGGAGGCCGGTTGCAAGTGCAGTTCTATGCACGCTGCATTTGATGCACGTTACGCAAATGCATCGCATTTTTTATGGACATTGGAGGCAATTTAAGGATAAATATGCCGGCGGAAAAAGGCGAAGTAGAAGAACGCGACGTTCTCCTTTGTTCCGCGAAACCGCGACCCTACTCCATTATTATGTGCAACGGCGGTTGCGGTGAGACGAATGATCCAGCGATGACGCGGCCCCGCGGATCTCCGCGTTGCATATCCTTTTCCGAGATACGCTCACGTAAACTCCATATAAGTCGCTATCTACAATAGATACCATCCAGTCGCCGGAAGATCGAGTTGTGCGTGACAATGACGCGGCACGTCGTTCGTTAACGACACGACACCGGGTTTGTAATCACTCGCGGCTCGATCGCGATGACGAGACGGTTCCTGGGAAGGGGAACGGGGGGGCCGCGGTTAATATTAGGCAACGATCGCTATCAGATGCGCGATTATTAACTCTTGGATCGCGGACGAAGCGCGGAGGTCGCGTTCTAAACGCGTGAAAAATTCGTGCGAGATTCGGCAGAAGGAACTAAACTTTACGAATTATATGTTCGAAATTTTTTACATGCTATGTTTGAAACTTTTAAGAATGCTACGTTTACAATTTTCTAAATGCTAGGTTTAACATTTTTTAAATGCTGCGTTTGATATTTTAAATATTATATTTAAAATTGTTAAAATGCTGCAATTTATAATCTTTAAAATGATATATTTAAGATCTTAAAAATGCTGCACTTGAAAAGTAAAAAATGTCACATTTAAAATTCTTTCAATTCTACGTTTACAATCTTTTAAATGCTAGGTTTAACATTTTTTAAATGCTGCGTTTGACATCTTAAAAATGCTACCGTCAAAATGTTGAAAATATTACATTTAAAATTGTCAAAATGCTGCAATTTATAATCCTTAAAATGCTAAATTCAACATCTTAAAAATGCTACGCTTGAAATTAAAAAATGGTTACATTTAAAATTTTTAGAATGCTACGTTTTTAAGCCTTTGCACAGCTGCCTTTTTCAACGTAAATAATATAACTAACACATTTTGGCATTGTTATCTCCTCGACGATTTTTCTTGAACGAAACTTAGAATACTAATACCGTTCAACGAACCGTGTTTTCGACTCCTAGGACTCGCACCGTTAATAATACCGAGCACGATAATAATCTCGGCATTATTCCGCACGCGGAAGTAACGTCGCGTCCTCAGGGTTCACTATAATTTGCCAAACACCGTCCAAGGCTTCCCGTCTCTTCCGAGCCTCTTAAATCGTGTGCGTAACGCGTCCGGTCGTTCGCATGGTCAACTCGGGACATTTAGGGCCCTCTAAAATTCTCACCTTCTTTTATTTGTAATGCGTGAAATTCGGAGCGCGTTGATACATCGGCGCGACCTCGGACGGAACTAATTATTCCATTGTTGACCGACGTCCGGAAACGATGACTCGGGTTCCCAGGGCCTCGCGTGTGTCCACGATACAATAAGATAACCAGAGACCCGACGCCGTACCTCTTTCGACTTGAAAAGCCGCCTTGGAGAACGCCGAAAAAAATTCGTGAACAGACGGTTTTTAATCGCGCTGGAAGACACGGAACGGCGCCGTTCACTTAGACAGCGTTTTCGCTGCCGCATCGTGATCTAAGCTATTTTTAACAGACCCCTTCTTCTTGCTATCTTGAAACAATATTTGGAAATTTCCAGATCGGAATTTTACACTGTTTGGTAATTTCTGTACATTCGGCAATATTTAATCGAGAATATTTAATCGGCGATATTTAATTGACAGCATTTAATTGGCAACATTTAATCGAGATCGTTCGATCGGCGATATTTAATTGACAGCATTTAATTGGTAACATTTAATCGAGATCGTTCGATCGGCGATATTTAATTGACAGCATTTAATTGGCAACGTTTAAGCGAGATCATTTGATCGGTAATATTTAATCGTGAATATTTGATCGGCGATATTTAATTGACAGCATTTGATTGGCAATATTTAATCGGCAGCATTTTGATTGGCAATATTTAATCGAGATCATTTGATCGGAAATATTCAATCGAGAATATTTGATCGGCGATATTTAATTGGCAGCATTTGATTGGCAACATTTAATCGAGATCATTTGATCGGCAATATTTAATCGAGAATATTTGATCGGCGATATTTAATTGGCAGCATTTGATTGGCAACATTTAATCGAGATCATTTGATCGGCAATATTTAATCGAGAATATTTGATCGGCGATATTTAATTGGCAGCATTTGATTGGCAACATTTAATCGAGATCATTTGATCGGCAATATTTAATCGAGAATATTTGATCGGCGATATTTAATTGGCAGCATTTGATTGGCAACATTTAATCGAGATCATTTGATCGGCAATATTTAATCGAGAATATTTGATCGGCGATATTTAATCGGCAGCATTTGATTGGCGATATTTAATCGAGAATATTTGATCGGCAACATTCAATCGACAGCATTTGGTCGGCAATATTTAATCGACAGCATTCGATCGGCAATGTTCAATCGACAATACTTGATCGACATTTAGACCGACGTTAAATCAGTTGGCAGGAGATGAAGATGTTCGATCGAGATCAGTGCATGTGCGTCGCGAGTGAGATCCAAGTTGGCGGCGTGTTATCATCGTCTATTTTTAAGAGCCACGTTCGGCTCTTAAAAAATGAACGTGAAATGTTAGACAAATGGAACAAACGATTTCTGCGAATTGTTCGCATGCAAATCGATTGCATACAAGGAAGTATACGTGCACAAAGTAAGAATAGCCATTTCGTCGGGTGATTCGGATCGCTCGTAAGCGAGATCGACAGTCTGACTCCTTATTTGGAGATTACTCTTCCGATTACTCTTCCGTCGATAATCGGCGTATCCAAGTATATATATGCAGAGTGTCCCAAAATTGTGGCACTTCCGAGAAATGAAGGATTCCTAAGCGGTTCCTGAGGAATTCCTGAGGGATTCCTGAGATCGTTCCAAGCAACTCTTTCCTTTACAAAAATTTTCTCCGAGGCACCGTTAACGAGTTATTAACGAAAAACGCCGACCAATGGATGACGAGCTCTGCTAGCGAGAGGCGGTCCAACTGACGAGCGCGCGAAGCCCAGTTCCGCTGATAGGCTCGCGGCGCCTCGCGCCAGCCCAGCTCGCCTCTCATTGGCCACTGTTTTTCGTCGATAACTCGTAAACGAAGCCTCGTAGCACATTTTCGCTAAGGAAAAAGCGACTTGAAATGACCCGAGGAACCCCTCGTTTCCCAGAAACACCACGATTTTGGGACACCCTGTACAGATCGGCGTGTCGAAAACTGCACCGATTAACAATGAAGTCAATTACTTCGCTCGACATCAAAGCTTCTTCCCCGTCCGCCGGCTTTCCAACTCGCGATCTTGTTATGATTGCGCAACCTCGCCGTTGCTTACGTAAATCGCCGGATCGGCGCGAGATAAAAAACGCGATGCACGCGATGCGGCATTCGATTGATCGCCGATTACAGAAACGTTGTACTAATTGCGCTTCTAAACGGTTACGATCGCAGCGATTTTGCACAGCACGTTTGCGAGTTGCGCGAGCCACGCTTCGCCGTCGGGACGCTTCGCGAATCCCAGGGCCCGCGACGCTCGAATTTTTCTTCAATTATTCGTTAAAGAAAAAGTGTCGTGATCGGCGCGCATTAGCTAATACGCTCTCGCCGGACAGCAAGTTGCAATGCCGTTTATATCGCTCGTAACAGGCGATCTTCGGACACACGTGGCGATGATAATAACAAAGTGCTGATTAACGTAACTCGTTGTTTATTCGATCATAAACGAAGTATAAACAAATTGCTCGGATCGCGGCGAAGCGGGCTTTAGAGCTGCGAGGGAAAATCACTGTTGCCGACGCGATTTTTGCTCGCAACGCTGATGGATCGGGGAACGCGAACCGCCACTTATCCGCGATCGTGTCACAGCTCGCGACTAATTGAACACGTGTTTCAGGAGACAGTTGACATTAAGGATGTTCATCCGGAATTACGCGACGGCTGTGATTCCTCGCGACAAAAAGTTGCGTGTCGCTCGAGACCGTTCGGTTGAAACCGCGAGATTAATATTCGACGGTAGTGTGACGCTCGTCGATCGATTCTGAAGATGTGTGTTCTCCGGGAAATGCGTTCATTGTTCGCGTCATTTTGCGAGAATCTTCGTCAATTCGCGCGTAAAGATAACCAGTTCAGAAACGCGCCGAGTTCTCCTCGAGCCTATCGCAATCGGCTTATCGCGTCGGACTTTGTGTTAATTGATCGAATTTTAATGAGACCCTTTTGTTGCGGAAAGGAAGACCGTCGCTTGCGAACGAACGAAATGTGAGATTATTCGCGAATCGCGCATGCGGCTGGTTTTTACAGTTATTATTAATAAGATTATTAAGAGGAAATTATAATTTGATAGCTGTCAAGAATATTTACCGTATCGAGAATCGAAATACAGGAATTATTCTCTAATTCGCGCTCAAATTGCGCACAGAAATGGACGATTTGGGGAGAGCAGATGCGATTATTCGCGGTTCGTTTTTACAGTTGTTATTATTAATAAGATTATTAAGATGAAATTATAATTTTATAGCTGTCAAAAATATTTATCGTATCGAGAATCGAAATACAGTAATTTCTCTCTAATTCGCGCTGAGATTGCGCAGAAAAATCGACAATTTAGGAAGAGAAGACACGATAACTCGAGCCTCGCGTCTCGTTTGTTATCGAACAATCGTATCTCCTCTTCCCAAATCGTCCAGTTTTGCTCGCAATCTAACCGTGAATTAGACAGCAATTATCGTGCTCGTTATCTCTCCTCCATGTGAAAGACCCTTTTTTGCCGTTGCTGCTTTTTGTTTATCGCGAGCATCAGGTTATCCCGCGATCGAAATTCGCACGTGTAACGATCGTTACTTATTCCAGGATCTTAATCGAAGTTTAATCGTTTTGCTATGCAATTCGCACGATTACGTCAACGATCCGAGGCTCGGATCGCAGCGTAAATAAATTGTTCGCCGCAGCTCGCCGCGACGATACGCGTCCATGGGATGAATATGCGCAATGCAGATCCGATGGGCGGATCAATTAATCGAACGTGATTATTATATTCCGCAGAAACGCCTCGTAGCCGGGATAATCGACGAATGCAAATCGATCGAAACGAGCGATCTGATCGCCGGTCCTGAATGAAATTCGCCGGCGAAGCCGCGTCGCGCGCGATAATTACCGATCGACTGATCAGACTGCAGAAATGATGCGAATTAGCATATATCGAGAAACGTGCTTCGGGCGGCGAAGAACTATTGCAGAAATTCGTTGAACGTCGCCGGGGACCGATTCGAGCAACCGAAAATCCTGCGAAATCCTAATATCCGGATCAGAGATCAGAGATCAACTCCTCGATCGTCTCCTCGAAATCGGCGGAAAATCTCCCTCCGTGCTAAATCTCTTAACTCTGCAGCTTTCCCGAGAGGCTGGTTGCAGGGTGAATCAGAGATCGCGCGCTATTTCGGCCGTCTTCGCTGCTCGGCGACTTGTTAAAACTTCGCGAAAAATCTGGCCTATTTTGGATCGCGAGCCGCGCGTCGGAGAATTTTCTCCGATTTTTCACGAACTATGGAAAATCGAAAAAACGAAAGAACGTCGCCCTCGACGCTACAGTTCTATCGAAGGACGTCGCCGGATATCGGAGGAAATCGTCGCCGATTTTCGTCGGATTCTTCGTCGCGAGAAACGAAAGCGGCTCTTCCGACGTCTTTTTCCGGCGAGAAACTGACTCGATTTTGCCCGCTCGCGTGGCTTCGAACGTTTCCGCGCACGGTCTCGCTATATTTCGAACGGGAGGAACGACGTTGAAAATAAATCGGAACGAAAGCTGCGCCGCCGCGTCAGACGCGTGCCAAAATATTTCGGCATCTTTCGCAATCCCGGTTCGCCGCAGCGGCTGGGATCACCGACTGCGGATCTATTCGGTCGCGGTTCGAGCTAAAAATTCGCCGGCGCGAATCGCGCGTCAATCGCAATCTCCTACGATGCATTCTGCGACAACACAGCGTCGTCTCGATCGCGACACTTTCCACGCGGCACTCGGACACGACGAAAAATCGTTGGAACCGTCGCACGGCACCTACCTGTCGATCTCTCTGTTACCCACGCGCCTCTATCGATCGTCCGCGATCCCATAGATCGGGCGAACTAGCATGCGAAACGATCGTATCGAAAGCACTGCCGTCGTACGAGCGATCGAAGCCACCACGGAACGTTTACGATTTCGCCACTCGATCCGCGCGGATCGATCGCACACCGTGAATTCTTCTTCGAGCGCGCGTGATAGATCTCGCAGACATCTAGTTCTCACTGGGATTCACGGGGATATCGGATCGATGGATCGCGCGAGGCCGAAGCTCGCGCGCCGCGGCAGCTCGAAGACACCGCGCGGAACAGAATGCGAAACGTTCGCGGTTCGCGTCCGCGAAGAAATCGCTCGATGCGCCCCGCTCGCTCGCGTGCTCCGCGTCTCTCGCCCTTCTAAAACTCGCGCTCCTCCCGCCTTTTCTGCGTTCGATTATCAAGCTCGATCCAGGAAACCTGCCCGAGCCGATGTTTCCCAAGCGGCGCCTCGAGGTTGCCGGCCCTCTTCCGCTAATATTTGCGCCCGAGAGTTCGTCGCTCGAGAAATATTCGCCGAAAATGTTCGACCGGTTCTTCTTCGTGGTCCGACTGTTCGCAGATATCTCCGTGAAGCTTCGATTAGGAATTCGCAGCAGGCTAATAAACGGTGCTCGATATCGCTGGTACTCAGTCCTAAATTCTCGTTCGAAAGTTAACTCTCGTTTCTCGAGAACTAGTTCTTTTACCGAAAAAATTCGACTTGTCCTTTGTGGTACAACTATTCGGAGATGTCTCTGTAAAATTTTGATTAAGAATTTGCCATAGTTTAAACGCTGCTAATTGTTTAATCGCGAGTAGCTCGATATCGCTGATTCTCAGTCCTAAATTCTCGTTCGAAAGTTAACTCTCGTTTCTCGAGAACTAATTCTTTTACCGAAAAAATTCTACTAGTCCTTCGTAGTCCAACTATTCGGAGATATCTCTGTAAAATTTCGATTAAGAATTTGCAATGGTTTAAACGCTGCTGATTGTTTAATCGCGAGTAGCTCGATATCGCTGATTCTCAGCGCTATCGTCTCGTTCGAAAGTTTATCACTCGAAAACTACTTCTTTTACCGAAAAAAATCGACCAGCCCTTCGTGGTTCCAGCCTTCGCGAACATCTCCATAAAATTTCGAGCGAAAGCACGCAATATGTTCGATATCGCGCCGCCGTCGTTCGAACAACATCGAACAACGTCAATATATCTTTTCTATTCTCTTTTTTGTGCAACGGCTCGCTCGGATCGAAGCGGTTACAGTCGTCATTTTTCCCGGATCACGAATCAAACGACAGCTGTATCGAGACGAAGGAGTATCACAATGGAATTTTAACATTCGATGAACTCGGTTATATCAGCCCGCGAATGAAGCAATTAGGGGCAATCGTTCTTGTCGGTCGTAGATAACAAAAAAAAAAAGAAACTGTTATATGTTTATTACCGAGTAAATCGCGAACCGTGAACATTTGCCTAACACGGTACATGCGCGATAAAAACGGAAAGTAGTACATCACGGTGGACAGTTACATCTCGTGTGACCTTTAATAAAATACAAAACAATCGTTGTGTTTCGCATTGATCCTATTTGCAAGTATAAATTATGAGGATTCGGTCATTCAACGAAAGTGCTGTCGCTGGGAAATTTTACGATCCTTTCGTCGCGTGTAAGAACGAAAAGGAAAATCTCGCGAAATTGTCGAATCTTTATGTCTGATCGTCGAAGAATCTTAGAAAATCCTTTATGCGAGTACAAAGTTAAAAAATAGGCTTTTACCCTCTTAGGATAAATTATGTTTTCACGCAGCGGAGATGAAAATAATTCTCGTGGAATTTTCTGTATTTTATTTTTACTTTATTCTCTCAT